TTTTTCTTTTGCTTGCAAGATGTTAAAATGCACTAGTCTTTGTGGCCAAAGTTGAGTACTGATTTTTCCATTGTTAATCAGGTGCAATGAAATGCATATTTAATGGGGGCCTTCAGCAACATGACACTGTTTGCATGAGTTTATACAAGCGTGCATATCCTAAGTGGCCGGAACACCGGTTCCCTGTCCTAAATGCTTGATCAAGAGCTTCTGTTTTCTAAAGATAGGAGATATGCTTGCTCGTGTTGGGAATGAAGCACCGGTTCAGATTGTCAACTCCGAATTTCATGTTCGCTGTTAATAAGCTACATTCAGTTGGCGGGATGGTCCAATTTACCCTGCTATCTTCTTCCTCTCATTGCTGTGTTAGGGTGTTTGGTGTATATCCTATGTGGCATGGTTTAAAAAAAAAAATATATATATATATATATATGTCCTTTCATTTGACAAAAACTAATGAGGGGAAAAACCAAGAGGGAAAAGAAAAGTTAGATTTTGGTATACTGATCAGGTTTTGTTTGTTATATTTGCTCTGAGCAATGCTATATAATTTCCATTATATTTAATTGATTCACACAGCATAAGTATCATATTCTGTGAAAAGAAATGAGAATTCTTTATTGGGTGGGTATTTAGTACATCATTTCAAACAGAGTAACCCACGTCGGATGGACTTGCCTCCAAGGAGCCAAATGCAAGGAGCTCCTCGTTCTGCTCTAGCGTGGCCATGTCCTGCTCATCCAAGAACACCCACGCTTCAATCCCATCTCCGAATCTTGTATCCATGAGAACAACCGTATTGCAGAACACAGTCTCTGATTTGTTGGAAGCAGTGCAAGTAACCCACGCTGGCTTTCCCCAGCCAAAATTCATCTCATAAAGACCAAAGTTGCACCAACTAGTAAACCCAATAAAATCAATCTCACCAACCGCACCATACGATGCCTTACCCATCATCTCATGTATGTGCTCGCAAAATTTAAGCAATCCTCCCTCTCCTTGTAGGCTCTCAACAAAATCACCATCAGCTTTTCTTATCTCTTTCCTTAGATGGCAAACCAAGTCATCCAACTCTGTTTCTTCACCCGTAACTAGTGCAGTGGCCATGCACAGGAAATTTCCCATTGAATTCTTTGGGACTGGCGGCACTGCCCTTCGACGAAGGTTCACAGCATGGTTTATAACAGTTGGCTTCTGGAAATCGGATTTTGCTTTGAAAGTAGCCATGAGACACTTGCAGAGGAGGGCTGACACGGCCTCGACTCGTGTTGGATCTGGTACACTTGAACTAGTTGTTTTGGCCTTCAGAGAAGCTATTGCCGAGGCGTCAAAAACAATTCTCCTCGACCAACATATTCCTGTTTTGAGAAATGGGGAAAACAAAGCTAGAATGGTTGCCTCCTTGGGGTATGCCTCGCTCTGCGGAAAGACAAAAGAGGCATCGAAATTGGGATATGCAGCTTCTTCACCAGACTTGCGAGTCACTGCAGCCCAACTTCTCAGAAACGTTGTAGCTGCAGGTCCATCGGCGATCATGTGCGAGAGAAATGTGCCAACAACAATGCCACCGCAAGCAAAGTTGGTAACTTGTATCATGGCTACATAACCTCCTGCGCTCGCTGCAGTCCAACTAGCCTCAGCTGGAAGGAGTTCAGGGATAACAGACAGATCAGGGTGCCTGAGAAATTCATTAAGAGACCAATCAACTTGAGCCTCTACATAGTAAGCTCCCTCATCGTTACAATCAATGGAAAGACAGTCTTTGATCCTTCCAGCGAGCGGATAGAAGAGAGTTAAGGTTTCTGACAGAGATTCCTTTAGCAGTTGTGACCTTTTGGAGTTGGAGGCAACAATATCAGTTAGGGGAATTCTCGTTTCTTGGTTCGTATAGAAGAAGACCATAGGAACATAAATTAAAGGAATGAACTGATCCAAGAAGGAAATCCTGTGAGTTCTAAGATGATGGGGTGTCGGAGAAGCGGGTTTGATAAATTCTTTGGAAAGTATTTCGACCTCCATAACCATTTTCTCTCAGGCAGGAAGACAGAGAGCCAGACACTGTTAAAAGAATGTACCCTTGTAAGTTGTAACAAAAACTCGAGTTTAAAAAGAAGGAAACTGAGTGACCTGTTTTTTTGTTGTCATTACTCCTGAGATCTCCTTCAGGTGATATAGGCCTTTATAGCATTCAATGCCTTCCTTGTACTTTAACCCAGATTATATAATCGTTGACCCAGATTCTGAACTAAATATTAGAGGGCCCCGTTGTTTGATAAATTCTTTGGAAACTATTTCGACCTCATAACCATTTCCTCTCTGGCAGGAAGACAGAAGCCAGAAAAGCACGTACTCTTGTTGTAAGTTTTAACAAAAACTCGAGTTTAAAAAGAAGGAAACTGAGTGACCTGTTTTTTGTTGCCATTACTCCTGAGATCTGCTTCAGGTGATATAGGCCTATATAGCATTCAATGCCTCTTTTATAACCTTTGACCCAGATTTTATAACCTTTGACCCAGATTCTGAACTAAATATTAGAGGGCCCCTTTTCTTCTTTGTGCACTTTTTGGTTAAAAAAATTGATATAGTCATGGGGCCTTGAATGCAATCAATTACTAGTTGCAGACTTTCCTGCCTGCCTAGTGTCTAGTTGCATCTTTTTCCTTAAGGACGAAAGTGCAAGCTCGAGAGTTTGATACAACACTTTCTTCAGATTTTATTGTATTACTTTAAGAACAAATTTGCTCTGTTGTTACATATAAAGTAACCTTAACGTTTGATCTACTGGAAAGATGAGTGTGAAAATTCTCTTCTCTTGCCCTGGTTGATAAAATTATAGCAATAGATTTCATCAAGTCAGAGAGAAAAAATCACAGTAGTCATTTTAGTCTGAACCTCCTACGAGGAGTCCTTGAATCTGACAGCTACAAGCTTTGCAGAAGGATGCGAGGGAGTGTTCTATGTGCGTTCCTGTACAGGTTCATAAATTGAAATCAAAGATCAAATTTCGTTCCCTCATGTGCCTATAGATAAAGATCGCTTCTTCTGGCAGAAATTAAAACTTAATAATCACCTGGACAAGCAACAATAAGCTTAATCCTGAGGTTCAAAAGGACTCGGATCCAGGGAAGCAAATGAGAGTATCTCTGTGTGACGTTGTAATATTGCCATGTCTTGTTCATCAAAGGTCACCCATGCTTCTATTCCATCGCCATTCCTTGTTTCAATCAAAAACACCAAATTCTGAAACACTAATCCATCTATGCCACCAGGACTCACCCACATGGGCTTTCCCCATCCGAAATCAGCTTCATAGATACCTACCCTGCGCATACTGCTAAATGCAAAATAATAAGCTCCTCCGTTGGTGTGCACTTCCCCTAACTCTGTGAGACACTCGCGGACCTTTAGGAAACCTTTCTCACCTTGTAATTGGTCAACGAACTCACCACTAGTTTCCGTTATCGATCTCCTCAGAAGAGCCACCAATGACTGCAACTCTACATTGGCCTCTCCGTGACACTGTGCAGTTGCCACCTAAAGAAGATTTCCAATTGAATGTTCAGGCAAGGATGTTGCCGTTTTTCCAGGCCAATTAACTATATGGGACAAAACAGACGGCCTTAGGGATCCATATCTTATTCTGGAGGCAGCTGTAAAACATATCCATATGAAAGCTGATACAGACTCAACACGCGTTGGATTTCACACAAATGACGAGCTAGAAGCTTTGGCCTTCAGAGTGGCTATGGCTGAAGTGTCAAATACAAATCTCCGCGTAACACACTTGCCAAATTTTAGTAAGGAGGGCCATATAGCCAACTTTGTTTCTCTTGGCAACAAACTATTCTGTGGGAAAAGCAGCGGTGCAATGAAACTAGGCCTTGGTGCTTCACCTGAACCTCGAGTAGAAGCCACCCAGGCCTTGAGAAATGTGGTTGATGTAGGGCCATCAATGATCTTGTGCGAAGTTTGCGTGCCAATGGCAATGCCAACGCATTTCAGTATGTTTACTTGAATCATCGCGACAGGAATTCCAGCATTCGGTGTTTCCAACCGGCTGAGGTTAGAAGGAAGCAATGGCCGTATCATTTGGCTGTCAGGTTTGCTAAGAATTTGTGATAGAGAACAACTAACCCTGGCCTCATTGGACTGAACTCCAGACTCGTTGCAATCAATGTTAAGACCGTCTTTGATTCTTCCTGCAAATGGGTAAAAGCTAGTCAAGGTTTCTGATAGAGATTGCTTCAGCCTCTCTAATCTTTCACCGACAACACTCATTGTTAGAGTCACAATCTATGGGCCTGTAAAAGAGGATCATCGGAACATGTGCAGATGGCATAAGCTCATCCAAAAGGGAAAGCTTATAGGTTCTCAAGTGATGGGGTGTTGGGCAAGATGGTTTGATGCTCTCCTTGGACATGATTTCAACCTCCATTTTATTTGTTTTTCCTGGTTTTCTTATCAGTACATCAATCCATTTAGCTTGATGACGCTCTGTAAAAAGCAGTCTGATCGTGTATACCTTGGAACAAGATTCAAATGTGACATAATTTTTATCTCTCTGCTTTTGCAATCAGTTGTTTATGATTTTCATTGGTAAAACTATGAAGGATAAAGGAAGAGTGTGCAATCTGCAGATAAAACTATAGCACCAGACAGGCTTTATCTGATTTGTTTGTTCCTCAATCCTCATCATTCTCCTCCCTCTTATCCCACAATTTGCATTCACTTTGTCAGTAAACTTCTCTTTCTAATGGTAGCATCTTATGTTTTGTTGTATATTCTAATAGCTGGAAACAATAGTTGATGTTAAGCCACTTCACAATCACTTAGAGTTGATGATAGGTCAAGAAGGTTTCGGGCCTGGGAGCAGGTCTTATTGGGCCAGCTCTCGACTCAAGGCCTGCCATACTGAGGAGATTAAGATCCGCTGGGTGCGTGTGTATGTTAACTATATCTGCAACGTAGCCGAATTGCCAAACAAATTTCAAAATATTTTCCGCTAGGTCCGACCGTAGGACATGAACGAGCGGTTGATGAGCTTTCAGCCTTCGATCGAACGCGGGTAATTGTTTCTACTGCTTAAACCCTGAAAGGAAAACCCGGGTGTAAGCTGGGTCGTGACCCAAGAGCGTAACGGAAAAGGAATGCGTAGAGTGAGGATTCCTTTGCGGTCAATCGCAGACACCTTTTGTAAATCGAAATCACGTGAACATGTACATTTTTTTTATTACTTTTGTTTCACTTCTTTATTTTCCTTGAAGAATTTGATGTTTCTGTCTTGGTAATATTTTTTTTCTTCTAATTTTTGGAAATTTGGTTCATAGTCCTATTGGTTAATGATTAATGCTGTTTCAGGGACGACGAAATGTGACCGGAAGATTGGAATTATGTAGAACTGTTGCAACTATCAATGGTACGTTACCCCAATTTTTCGATTTTCCCATTTTATTTTGTTTGTTTGATGGAAACTCTTCAATTGCTTCAAGTCTTTGTTTATTAAGCTCAAGGAATTGATATGAGCAGGTCATGTGTGTTTGGGATATGGAGAAGAGTCAAGAACAAAGACCTTGCAGCTTCAAATTGTTGATGCGCTTCGCTTGGGTGAGAGAAGTAGAGCTTCTAGCCTGCTGTCTGATCTTGGTGATGGAAACCAGCCACTGAAAGCTGATGACTTTGTTTACATTCTTAACTACTGCGCAAAATCACCTGATCCTCTGGTAAGCTGGAGTTTACCGACATGCAAGTGTGTGAACCTGAATCTGTTTCTGTTGTATAGACTATAGATTTACAACATAGATAATGTGGATAAGGATCACAGTTGACAAACTGGAAAAGGAAAAAAAGAAGAGTCCGGGAAAGGAAGAGGAAAAAGAAGTATGAATGGTTATACTTGTTAGTAACAGTTGTGGCATTTTCTATTTCCGTACAGTTTTTTATGGAAACGTGGAGATTGATAGAGCAAAAGGAGATTGGCTTGAATAACAAATGCTGTTTGCTTATGGTGCAAGCTCTTTGTAGAGGAGGTTATTTGGAGGAGGTATACATTTTATAGACTAGTGTTAGCTCTTTGTATCCTTGGGTTGATTCATTAACTTAACTGGAACAACTTCGTTTTCTTGTGTGATTGTGAATAGCTCCTTTTTGTTATTGCTACACCATTATAGGTGCTATTTCTAATCATTAATATTAGTTTTGCCACAAATCAAGGTTCAAATGTCTGTATGCTTGTGTATTTCCTTTTCCTCTACTGCCATCAAAAGTTTTCTCATTTCTTCTTCTTGTGTTTCCTTCAGGCATGCAATTTGATTAAATTTCTTGGAGAGAATCGTGGCATCTATCCTTTTCTGTCAGTCTATAACTCTTTCTTGGGAGCCTGTGCAAAAATGCAAACTGCAGTTCATGCTAATCAATGTTTGGATTTGATGGAGCGCCAAAGGGTGGGGAAAAATGAAATTACATATTCAGAGCTTCTCAAGGTGTGTAAAAACAGTGTTGATTGATTTTACTAATAGTAGGTTTATATTACTAGGTTTCTTTGTTCACAGTTTGCCCACTATGTTTATAGTAACATTAAAATAAGTGGTTAGCTATCTTTAAAGTTTGGTTTTATCATCCATCTATATATAGTATTGGTGTTTTGGTGGACAAATTCATGATACTTCTAAACAGATTATCTTCTCTGGTTTTTCTTGCTGTTTTCTTATCCTTTATTCTTTCAGCTTGCAGTTTGGCAGCAAAATCTATCTGCAGTCCATGAAATTTGGAAGGACTATATTAAGCACTACAGTCTAAACATAATTTCTCTTCGAAAGTTTATATGGTCCTTTACGAGATTGAAAGATTTAAAATCTGCATATGAAACATTGCAACATATGGTGGCTTTAGCCATTAGTGGCAAGATATTTGTTAGTAGGACTGGTGAAGGAAGGTTATATTCTTCAAGACTGGACATCCCTATACCATCCAAAGGTGAATCAGGGTCACAAAAAGTAGAATTGGGAGAGAACGAGCAAGATTTTGCTTTGAAATTTGACACTGATACCTCCAACGTAGAGATATGCAAGTCCTTGAGAGCTACAGTTGGTATTTTGAATAACTATAAGAGCATGCCTGTTATGAAAGTCCTGAGGTGGTCTTTCAGTGATGTAATACACGCTTGTGCACAAGCTCGAGATTATAAACTAGCAGAGCACTTGATGGTGCAGGTAGGACAACCTCTTTTCTGGCCTGAAATTCTGATTGTTCTGCACAATTCTCATAATATTTGATTTGACGACCATAATTCTAGGCTAAAGACTTTAATTCTGAAATTCTACTATGACGAGATAACTGTCATGTTAAAAGTAACTTGAATAAAGTTCCAATCTCTTGTGTGTCTCTCTTAGTAGTTAAAATCATTCAGCTGCTTTTTTTTAGTCCTTTCTTTTTTCATTTTTTATGTTTTTCTAGATGCAAAATCTTGGATTGCAACCATCAAGTCATACATATGATGGCTTTATGAGAGCTGTTCTCCCAACAAGAGGATTTAGTGCTGGCATGGAAATGGTAGGTTGCATCTTTTTATTGCTTAAACTGAGTATGTTTAGTGATGTTTCTTTCCTCTTGTACCAATAAATTTTCCATTTGGCCTTATTCTCTGTAGTTAAAAGTAATGGAAGAGAGGAATATGAAGCCTTATGCTTCAACTCTTGCAGCTCTTTCGGTACAATGTAGTAAAGCCTTAGAACTTGACTTAGCTGAGGCTTTGCTGGATCAAGTTTGTGAATGTCCACATCCATATCCTTATAATGCTTTCTTTGGAGCATGTGATACTATGGTAAGTAAACCTTGCACTCCATTGCTTTTTTTTTTCTCCCTTTCTTGTTCAACTGTTTTATTCATCGATTATTCATCTCTGAACGCATAACCAAAAATTTGTGCTCATAAGACTGGAAGAAAACAGTAGTTATTATTCCATCTCTTATCCCAAAAAAATTGGTGATTAATATAGTTAATGGATCAGTATTTTGTTGGAATCAGTCAGTTTTCATATTTGATTTATTCTAAACTTGCTATTTGGAAAGCCTTTTGCTATTCACTATCCCATGTTGCTGCTACTCCTTTGAACAGGGATCCTTGTGGTAATTGGGGAATTAATTCCTCTGTATTTTGTTAGTTAATTGTAAATGAACTATGTTGGGGTTTTTGCCCTTTTAATTTCTACTTTGCTTCTTTGGATGAATGAATACAAATTGAATTATCCAAAAAAGAAAAACGAAAAAGACACAAATATGAAAAAAAACAACGAGCATAATTTATCTCCATTGATGCAAATTAATTTTGCAGGATCAGCCAGAGCGAGCTATTCGGCTATTGGCTAAAATGAGACAACGAAAGCTTCAGCCAGATATCCGGACATATGAACTACTATTTTCGTTGTTTGGTAATGTGAATGCTCCTTATGAAGAGGGCGATATGTTGTCACAGGTTGACTCAACCAAACGGATAAAGGCTATAGAAATGGATATGGCTAAAAATGGTGTTCAGCATAGTCATTTATCAATGAAGAACTTGGTAAACTTCCTGCCCATGTACTTTATTCGTTCTACTTGGACCTTGAACAATTTTATGTATGAGTTACTTGCATGGAAATTTTTCAGCTAAAAGCCCTTGGAGCTGAGGGGATGACAAGAGAGCTGCTTCATTATTTACATATTGCCGAGAAACTTTTCTGCCATACCAACACTTATATGGGAGCTCCCATCTATAATACAGTTCTGCACTCACTCATTGAGGCTGCAGAGGTGAGTGCTTCCAGCACTGTACTTTATGCTTTGCAATTACTGCTTTGTTAGGTGTGGGTTTATAATTAGCGTTTGCATATAAATCATATCTTCACTCTATGTGCAGAGTCAAATGGCGATAGAAATATTTAAAAATATGAAATCATGTGGTCTCCAACCCTGTGCTGCAACATACAATATAATGATTGATTGTTGTAGCACCATGAGATGTTTCAAATCTGCTTGTGCACTAGTTTCCATGATGGTGCGTAATGGTTTTTATCCAGAGACAATGACATACACATCTCTAATAAAGGTATTCCTTTTTTAGCTTTAGTCCTTCTCTGTCAAATTCACTTGCATTGCAAATATTGCCTCCATTGTATGCACATTGCAGAGAAATAGGAATTTATTCCTGCTGCCCAAAGTATATCCAATTCATTCCTGCTCACTAATCCTGACCTTATCTCCCAAACTCGTTTTATTCATTTTTTCAAGTATTCAAACCTTCAAGGAAAAAAAGAATTTAAAAATTTATAAGTTTTATCTTTTACATTCTTGGAAATCTTCTTCTTTATATAAAAAAATAGCTGTAGAAATTGGCATCATGATACTTTGGTGCATTTTCATATTACCCTTTCAGATCCTCATCTTAAAGATACAATTCTAGTCTAATAATAAATTTCTGTCAGCTGTCCTGCATATTATAACTTTAGAACTAAACCCCGATGCTTTCTTGTAGATGAGAAAACAAGTAATTGCACACATTTTTAACGACCCAAAACTGTCTTGTTGCTATATTTTTAGTGTGTATAATAACGAAGTAAAGGATTGTCCTGTCTGAGAGTATAATATCCAGTTAAAGATTTACATTTGTCTCTCGACTATGAATACCTTTTGTGAGTAGCAGAGGGGAGCAACTAGTGGTATTTATCATGTAATTGGTCGGAGTTCAGTTTCTAACACTTTTTTTTTGAAGATATTGCTGGAATATGAAAATTTTGATGAAGCAATAAATCTTCTGGATCAAGCAAGTTTAGAAGGGCATCAACTGGATGTAATATTGTATAATACCATACTTTTTAAAGCAAGTGAAAAGGTATTCCCCCTGTTCTCTCTCTCTCTCTGTCTCTCTCTCTCTCTCTCTACACATATATCTTTACTATTTTTGCAAGGCATGTTATTTGCAAAAGTAACCTGAGTAAAATTTTGTATCTTAATTTACATTTCTGGCTATTTTCTGTTTATGCATGTTTCGTTCAGCATGTGGATTGAATGAGAAATGGAGTTCTATATCATCTTTTCTTAGGGTGCCTTAGCAAACAGCAGAATATCTAAGCAGCTCTCTGCCGTTCTTTGATTGGGGCTCGTCTTGAGTATCGATGTGGGATTTCACTACTTTAGTTCCCTCTAGATGCCATAGGTAAATACTGACTCTTTTGCTGTTGTACCCAATGGTATTACTTTTATGAAGGAAAACTCAAGATACGAGTTCTTGTGTCATTGAGGGTACTGCACCTCAGAGTTGTCTGCTGGCTTCTGCTTGGATGTCCTGACACACTTTGGGTTACTAACACCTAGGATATTGTTTATGCTTATCATGCAAGCATCAGTAGAGTATTCAATAACTTGTATCTGGTGTTGTGTAAGAAGTAAGTGTCACTAAAATTCCTTATTGAAGGCATTTTCATGTTTTTGGCCAGAACTTCTTGAAGGAATTGATAACATGCTGTTATCGCCATCAGAAGGCAGAATGCGCCTTAAGATTGTGTTAAAAGTGTCCTGTCGCCACCTAGGAGCCTTTCTTTGCTAAATCTGCTTTCTTTATACATGTAATATCAACTATGTGCATAGAATACAGTGGTAAATATGATTACTCTTGAACATTGATAGTCTTGTGATGGACTGGTTGCCTTGTAAGTTATTGACATTGGTTTTGGATTTTTCATGGATGAATGTCAGGGAAGAATCGACATAATGGAATTTACTCTTGGGCAGATGCACCAACACAAAGTCCAGCCTGACCCGTCAACCTGCTATTATGTATTTTCTGCATATGTTGATCGTGGTTTTCACAACACTGCCATGGAAGCATTGCAGGTTTTGAGCATGTGGATGATCTCTGACGAAGACAGCACACTTGAAGAAAAGAAGGGACAATTTGAGGATAATTTTGTGCTTTCCGAGGACTTGGAAGCTGAGTCGAGGATACTCCAGGTTTTTAAGGATTCTGAGGAGCATCTTGCCATCGCTCTTTTGAATTTAAGATGGTGTGCTATACTTGGGTTTCCAGTCTCTTGGTCACCTAACCAAAGTGGATGGGTTAGCAGACTCAAAACTAATTATGACAGAGCAGGGAGCACTGTGTTATAAGCGTAGCAACAGCTAAAATGCCTTCTAATCAGCTCTTTTTGCAGCATTCAATCTCAAAAACTGCCCTCGATGTCGTGAAAGCTTTGCTGTTCACAAGGGTGCCCCAGCTCAGTAGAACACACCAAATCAGGCGGTAATGAGGCCATTGTAGATATCTAACGGTTTTCCATTTGCTTGCTTGAGCTCAAGTCCGCATAGGACGAATGAAAGATGCTAAGGTTCTTCACACCTTGCAACCATGTTTATGGTTAGGAGTTGAGGCGGACTACAAGGCTTTAATTGCTTGCAATCAGAGGAGGCAGCAGGACTTCCACTCGCAAAGTACTGACAAATCACAAGAGCCATTCAAGGATATTAACTAATGTTAGCAATGGCAGCGGAGCAAAGATTAAGCGAATGACATAGAAATCCTTGGTGATTGACAACACACAGGGATGTCGATAAGGAATTTGATCTTTTAACTTAATAGCGCAGATGGGCATTCAAACTGTTGAAAGAACGATTTTGCAGCAGTGTAACTTTGTTCAACCAAAACCTCAACTTAGCTGTGTTTAAAGTTAGAATTCCTTTGGAAAAGGCTCGTGTAATCAATAAGTTTCAAGTTATTATAAGAAGCCAACCATGCACGGCATGCACAAAATTTCCACCTAAATCATAATATAGCATATGCACCAACTTTGCCATTTGCGTATATTTGCAATTATCCACCAGCAACTAAATGTTTTCTCCTGGAGGCAACTCTGCAAGCTTTGGAGGAGTGCCAAGCACTCTTTCCATGTCAAAACGGACTTCAATGTTCCTAATGCTGTAACCAACAACCATCAGCCAATAAAGAAGCTTGGCAAGTTCGGGTGCACTTGTCTCAGTTACACTTGCCTGTAAAACAATGGATATCAAAGTTTGAGGAAGACTCTTTTAAATATCAAATAACCTTCTAGTATCTTTTAAGTTCTACACTCTGTCACAAGGTGCATGCATCCAATGATTTCTTCATATGAATGAACATTTAAACCATAACGCAAGAGATCACCCAACAACGTAAAAGTAATAGGAAGGTAACCTTCATTTGGTCAGGATCTGAAACGGCTAAAAGACGCTTAATGAATGTGTTCATTGCAAACACAACATCTTCTCCAGCGCTGCTTGTCAACTCCTAGAAAACATGTAATTTGAGTCAATATGTGGAGATAATCACTAATTCGAGTGAGATGGCAGTTATTCTATTCGACCCCACTAGAATTCAGTAATTGAAAGAAACTTTTACAGCTAATTCTCCGTACACAGTTTTCCCCCGGTATTTTTAACTTTAAAATACACTGTCAAGTTCCAAGCAAGTTAAGTTTGATGCAGTAAATAATGTAATGCAACAAGCATTCAATAAGTTCTCTCTATAATCATGTATCTATGCAAGCAAAAACGCAAAATCAGCTGGCAACTATAACCAGGGCAACCAAATTATACAGTAAAAAAAAAAGTGGAAATAGCTTTATTTACCTTCAGATTTTGTGGCTCAAGAGACTTGAGAAATTCTAATAGCTCATTCTGTCCATTTGCAGATTTTCTACCGACTTGACGGTTCAATTCCTCAATCTCTGCTTCAAGTAACTCAATGTACTTTTTAGCATCTATTTTCTCCGGGCCAGAAACATTATTCCACCTAATAACTTCACCAGACACATTCTTTTGTGTACCAGGTGCATAATCTGGAACATCCTGTAAAGATGGAGCCCTTTAGCACCAATGAAACAAAACATTTGGAGATTAAAGAGCACATCTCAGATGACAGAAGATGATTAGATCAGGGTCTATGATGTAGATGCAGTTGCCACTACACAGGAGTTGCAGTCAACATGGTGAACATTAAATATAAAGCAGTCAGCAAGCAGTGTGCAGGACCCCAAAGCACTTCAATGATTGACACCAAATGTTTTAACAAGAAATACAAAATGAAGTATTGCATTGTTGATTACTTTAGATAAAGCTATACCATCTAGTGGCCCCCAGATTAAATTTACAGTAGCATAAAACTGAACAAAATAACTCTCTTGGATAACTTGATAGGATTGAATGACTTAGAGACAAGACAAATAATTTGATGCAGGAGCGTCTGGGTATCTTTGGCCTAGCCAACCAAAGTGGGATTTTAGCTATTCTTCATCTTAGTGGGGTTTTCTAACCTTGCCAAGATTGGTGGTTCACCTTAGTGGAGTTTCTAACCTCACCACGATTGGTGTCTTTCACAACGCCGCGGCATCATAATTCCTCTTGGCAAGTTCTGTTTAGACACCAATGATACGCAGTTACATCACTCTATCATTCCAAAGACTAATTATTTTTCTTTTCTTCTCTCTACCATCGTGAGATTTCTCCCTATCAGAACAGACTCCATTACACAGGGCTCCAGAGTATATCACTATGAAGCAGCTGAGATAGCCATTTCTTATCGGGTATGGTTGAGTGGCAACCTCACAAGGTTTTCTCCAGATAACAATTACCACCTTGGTTTCTTTCAAGACGCAAAATGGGAAAAGACTTACCTTTTCTTCTTGGACCTCAGGAAGAGCAGCCTGCTCTATACTTTGTTGCAATTCCAATCGGTATTGCGCATTCCTAAACATATATCCAGTCATCATAACACTGTACATGAGTTGTGCAAGATTTTCAGCAACCTAAAAGGAAAATCAAAGAGTTCCCAATAACTGTCTAAACCGATAAGAGTAGAATTCAATAGCACTGAAAAAACATAAAACCAAAACGGAAAAGCATAATATACTCACAGTGGTGACTGTCACGGCAAAAAATTGCGGGGGCAGGGTTCCAATCATATTTGTCACCGTTTGCCGCATTGCCTCAACGACCTGAAAACACCAATAAAAAAAGGGTAACATTCAAATTCACTTCATTTCCAGAGCCTAAGAACTTAGCATCCAGAACAAATAAGGAATAAGAAAAATAAATGAAACCTGCTGCGGCGCCCGTTTCACGAACAACTCCATGAACTCCGGCTGCACATTTTTCACGTACTCCAATAGAATATCTCTCCTGTTTTTCGGCTGCTGATTGCAGAAAAAATGACACTTCAAATACCACTTGCACAACCAAGAAAAATACATTGACGAGAGAGACAGAGAGAGATACCAGAGTGCCGTTAGTAGGCTTGGAATCACCGCTGGACTTAGAAGGCTCGTCGCTTTTGGAAGAATCATAAGCTTCAAATCTCAAACCCAATCTTCTCCCGCTCTTAATCTTTCTTGGGAAGCTAACTGAAGGAAGACATTGTTTTGGCTTGCACGATGAGAGGACTGTGGAAGAAGATTGCAACACAAACGAAGAGGGTTTCACGGTCAGAGAATTCATCTCAGCTCCTTCCCAGGTTTATTTCTATTCACCAAAAATAAATAAATAAAGCCTGATTACTTAATCTTTATAGTGCAGGCATTAACCGGTACGAAGTAAAGAGAAAGTGAAAAACGTTGGGCTTCCTGGTGTGGGAGTTCCCAGAGATGAGGGTTTGTTGGTCTGAAAAATGAAAAGTGCGGGTTGGGTTCCACCAGAAGATAGTGGACTAGCGCCCAGAGGATAACTTATGCAGATTCTCAAAATGCTACTAGGAGCAAAATGGCCAGGATTTCCCTATTGCTTTCATCTTGTGCTTTGGAAATTAGTTATTTTTGAGAAAGACACTTAATTATTTAAGTAAAAGATATTACTCTTTTCTCTTTTTTTTCCTCTATTTTATTAGTATCCAAATTAAGATAAAAAGTTTTAATTTTAATATAAAATATATATTTTGTATTTTTAGTATAAAAAATTATGAAAAATAATATTAAAGTTTGTAAAAAAATCATTTTGAGAAATTTCAAAAAGAAATAGATAAAGAAAAATAACATAAGGAATATAAAAATTGATAAATATAAAGATTTATTATGAAACATGAACAAAGATGTCAACGGGTAAAGTATTGTTATTTTTTATGTACTTTAACCTAAACTCTTTTATTTGATAAATTACTCAAACCCTATAAATATTCAATTAAAATTTTGAACTTTAATGCCCTAGATACTATATATTAAATATTTTATTAAAATAAATTTAAAATAAATTTATATATTATTAATGAAAATTAAAGTTAGTTTATAAGAAATTAAGTTAAAATTTAAAATATTTAATGAATTTTAATAAATTTTGTAATAATTATAAGAATTTTATAAATAAAAAAATAATAGATATATGTGACTAAAATTTAATATAAAAAATTATTATTTATAATTAAGAAATAATAGTGATATCATAAGATCACTATTTGAATTTGTGATGAGTAATAGTTTTACTATCTTTTATCTACCTAAACTTGAATATGAAATGTTTTGACCTATCTTAATCATATCAAATAATATATAAGCATAATACTCAAATAAATCTTTAAATTATTCAATAAAATTTAAATAAACAGTTATTTTTTATTGCGTTCAATCATATACCTGTACTTTTATTTTGAGTATGACTAATAATTGACTAATTATTATTAATCAAAATATCACTTATTATATTTGTTTACATATGACACCGAGATAACATTAATGTATAAGTTAAAAAAGTTACATTATCATATTATAATGTTAAATTAACATGTCACATCATAAGTAATTATAATATGTTAATATGTCACATTATATGTTAACATATCACATCAATATTATGCGATATAAAATGACAAATAATATTTTAATTAAGTCAATTATTAATTAAAATGATTTATTTAATTTAAAATAAAATTATAAAAACTTGATTACACGTAATAAAAATATAAAAGTTTATTTAAATTTTTTAAAATAGTTTAAGAGCTTTTTTAGAAAGATGGAACTATAAGATATCCATTATTTAAACAAATTAGTAAAAAAAAATTAATAATTTAAAATTGACAGTTTGGCCGAGTGGTCTAAGGCGCCAGATTTAGGCTCTGGTCCGAAAGGGCGTGGGTTCAAATCCCACAGCTGTCATATTTTTAAATAAATTTCTCCCTTAACAACTTGACGCAACTTTATCTAACCTGAGCCCACAACTGGGCGCAACTTTATCCTACCTGAGCCCAACAACCAGGATCAAAACTCACCCCATAGTTTATCTGAGCCCAATAACCAGAGGATTAAAACTCACCCGCCTTCCACCGCCAAAGCCAAAACAAATAGTTATTAGAATATTTTAACCGTCGGAAAATATTCATGGAAGAAAAACAAAAAGTGAAACTGCGCAAGCCAGCTCACCATCGCTCTCTCCACCCCAGGATTCGTTTCGTCCTGAGGTGGGTTTTTGTTCATTCTTTTATTTCCTCCCTGGCGCCCTTTCTCTCTCTCTCTTCTTTTTGTTTTTCCACTTCATTCTGAATCTCATTATACAACCACTCTTGTCCTTTTCGCCATAGCCTCTAAAAAAATTAAAATAATAAGATTAAAATTCAAGCGATGTTGGAGTTATAGCGGAGGGGGGAGAGAGATCAATCAGTTTTCTCTCTCTCTTTTTGTTTGCCTTTAGAGCGCCGTCAACAGCAGCGCCGCGATGGCCTTGCAACGGCGGCGCCAACATTACTACCACCGCCTTCGGACTTTGGTTCCGGTGATATCCGCCATCTCCGGTGCACTTCTAATCCTCTTCGCTATCCTTTCGTTTCTCGCTCCTTCTCCTAACGAATCGGACCAATTTAACCTTCGCCGGGATCATACCGCCGTATTTCCTCTCTCTTTCTCCGTGTTTATTTTAGTTAGCGTTGAATTCATGTGTGATTTGGCTTACGCATTCATTTTTCTCCCCTGTGTAGTTTAACACAGTTGTTGAGGATCCGATTGCCAATGGAGATTCAGTTTTCCGTATTCCAGTTACGGTTCCTTCATTACTTGTATTATTCTTTATAATTGTTATTATGATTTTGCGGTTTTATTTTAGGTTTCTTTGGATCCTAACCGTTGATTAATTTGTGATGTTGTTTCTGAGCATCAGAGTAAGGGAGGAAAATTAGATCGTGATATATGGAGTTCGAGAAATGCTAAATTCTTTTATGGATGCAGTAATGCCAGCGGCAAATTTGCCAGTGCGTATAATATTTATTTATTTATTTCTCCAGTTTGATTGATTAATTGTACATTTTATGTTGAAACTTTAGGTTTTATGAAAATGGATTTAGGAAACCTTAAATCTATTGATAATGATAAATGAATTGAGATGATTTAGGATTTTTAATGTGTTGATTGTATTGCAGAAGCTGAAGCTGTTACGCGTCCCACTCGATACTTGGCCATCGCCACCAGTGGAGGCTTGAACCAACAAAGAACTGGGGTAACTCTGATAGCTACTTCTTAGTACAGTTCTTATGGAATGATGTTTTGTGGTATTTTCTAGCTTTGGTTCTGTGTTTGATGTCAAATTTAGCATGAGAACCTGCAAGTAAGATAAAAGTTTCTCGTGCTAAAGGTTTATATAGCTTACAATAGTTAGACACATGAATACATGCTCTTGATTATATTCTTCATTGATCAGTGTGGAGTTATGTACTAATTTATTTGTTTTACAAGTAAAATATTGAATGAAATTGTATAATGAAGTGGCTGCTTGAATCACTGGCCCAATTGGCAGCATATAATGTATAAACAGAATAATTTTATTAGCTAACATTCAATCAAAAACTGTAACAAGCAAAGGGATTGCATTCTGCTGATTCAAGCTGATCCGAACCTTAATGATCTACTGCCATGCTTAAAGCTATTGGACTTTGAAAACACTAGTTTGAGCTTTCTGTTACCATCCATCCATGTCTCATGACAACAATGATTGGATCATTGTTTTATCACTCAATTGATTCGTTTTTGTGGTCAAGCTTACTATCAATTCATGTGTGGCAGATTACAGATGCTGTTGTTGCAGCTCGAATTCTGAATGCTACTCTTGTTGTTCCAAAGCTGGACCCAAAATCCTTTTGGAAGGATGCCAGGTTTGTAATTGAATGAAAGATATTTGCCATTTGAACCGTTTTAAATAGAGAAAATGCTGCATGAACTGAGTTGTCAAGATGTTATGTGACTATTTCTAACTTTTCACGTGCAGTAACTTCTCAGAGATCTTTGACGTTCATTGGTTCATATCGTTTTTGTCAAAAGATGTTAAAATCATAAAGCAGCTCCCTAAAAGGGGAGGGAAGAGTTGGACTCCATACACCATGCGTGTTCCACGGAAGTGTAGTGAAAGATGTTATCAAAATCGTGTATTGCCAGTTCTTTTGAAAAGGCATGTAAGTTCCCTATTGTCAAAATTTTTCGCTTTCAATTTTATATGCTTAGACCTTAACCGGTCACTGGCCACTTTTGGATTGCTTTATTTACTTCATTTTTCCTGTTTGTAATAGCTGCCCTTCTCATTCTCTCTTACTTTTTTCTCATGGAGAAAAAAAGGAAATCAAATACCAATTTAGTTGCCTTGCCTATAGAACCATTTGTTATCTTTTTCACCTGTCTATATCAGACCTAGTGAATCTGATAGTAATTAAAAGAGTGGTGGCTATAAATTTTAAAGAAGTGTATTCTTTATCAGTGTTTGGTGATGCATGGAAACCTTTGCTCTTGCAATAGTAGACCTTTCCTTCGTGGGATGAGCTATAATGGCATATAAAGCTTGAGCTTTGGACCAGTCTAAAGAGAGTGGTGGGGGAACAGGTTGATCCTTTATTCTATAACTAATCTCACTGTTATTCGGAAAAAGAAGTGTCTACAGCACCAGCATATAGAACTATTAGATTGCTAATAAGTTTATGAGAAATTGAAATGTTTTTTAAGTTTGAACTCATGTTTATTGTCCCCTCAGCATTTTGGGTTTTACCTGGATTTAGTATGGACTGGCTTCTGTTGATATCTGTTTCATCTTAAGTCTCATCATGTTATTTTATCCTATTCTAGGTTGTTTAAGATGGGTTGATTTTACTCGTCCGCTATAACTGTCTAATATCTGATGGTTCACTAATGACACTTCTCTTATTCTGTGAAGAATGCAGTTCAGCTCAACAAGTTCGATTACAGACTTGCAAACAAATTGGATACAGATTTGCAGAAGTTAAGATGCAGAGTAAACTACCATGCTCTGAAGTTCACTGACCCTATTCTAGAACTGGGTAAAACACTTGTTCGTCGAATGAGGATGAGGAGCAAGCATTATATTGCTTTGCACTTGAGGCATGTTTCTTTCTTTATCTTTGGTCCTGGATATCTATCATGTGTATTGATACTTATGCTTACAGCTACGTGCACCGGCACACCTGGATTTTGTATACCTTAAGGTTTGAAACTGATTAACCTGCATGCATGATAATATAAGAATGTACTTAGTAACTAACTACAGACAGCCCTGCAATTTCTTTACACTTAGTTAATGACAGCATGGCAATTTGCAAACATCTGATGCTACCCACTAACCTTGCATGATTTAAGGATAGGCCTTCAACCAAATTCATCATGATAGATATGTCGATATACAGCAGTAGATAAATGCATCATTATTTCCCAGCAATAGCTTTTCCATTCAATAATAAAAGACAGGAATGAGATTTATTGATGCAGCTAAACACTTTTGTTGCAGGTTTGAACCTGATATGCTTGCATTCTCAGGATGTGATTATGGTGGAGGTGAAAAGGAAAGGAATGAACTAGGTGCGATAAGAAAGAGGTGGAAAACTTTACATGTACGGCTCAAGTGTCATGCTCTATTTATTTTCTGCATCCTGATTCTCATTTTTTATAGGCCTAGAACTTGGAATTTGGAAAGTAAATCTGTAAAGTTTCCACTATTATGATCACTCAACATCATTTTCCAGTTTATAAGTATCATTGTCTCCTCCCACCAAGGAAAGGGGAAAAATGATTCCAGTATAGTTTGGGTGAAGTTTTTATAAAGAACATAAGAGGGTAAAAGAGATGCAAAGAAAATTCTCAAGTGACTGCTCCTTTGAGAACAGAGACTGTAGTCCTTTTAAATTCTCCAATTTGTATTAATTTGACTTCCATCATTCAGCTCCCAACCCCAGATCTAATGCATGTATGGCATCTGTTTATTGGTTTGCAGAAAATTAATCCTGATAAGCAAAGGAGGCAAGGAAAATGCCCACTTACCCCTGAGGAAGTTGGTCTGATGCTGCGAGCTCTAGGATATGGCAGTGATGTACATATTTATGTGGCATCTGGTGAAGTGTATGGGAGGGAGGAAACATTGAGACCCCTAAAAGCACTCTTCCCAAACTTCTATTCAAAAGATTCTATTGCCACAAAGGAAGAATTGAAGCCATTTTCCTCATTCTCTTCTCGGATGGCTGCACTTGACTTCATTGTTTGTGATGAGAGTGATGTGTTTGTCACCAACAACAATGGTAACATGGCTAGAATATTAGCTGGAAGAAGGTAAACAAGTCCTGCTTTCCGTTCTTCTCTCTCTGCAACTATAACTGCTGGCTAACTTTTTCCATTCTTTGTGTTTTACAGGAGATATTTTGGACATAAACCTACTATTCGTCCAAATGCTAAAAAACTATATCGGTTGTTCTTGAGCAGAAGCAACATGACGTGGGAAGCATTTGCCTCTAGAGTTCGTACTTTACAAAGGGGCTTTATGGGGGAGCCAAAAGAGGTCAGGCCAGGCAGGGGTGAGTTCCATGAGAACCCATCTGCCTGTATATGTGAAGATTCAGAGGCAAAGGAAAAGGCAAAGGCAGGTTCAGGACACAGGAAACATGGGAAAATGGATGATTCATCAAGAAACGATGTTATGGTAGGTGATGATCAGAATGAGAATGATGATGATGATGAGCCAGAATGGCCTGATCTGGATGATGATGAGGATCAAATTGGGCTTCAAGAAAAGGGTCTGTATAACATAACAGGTTCAGATTATGATGCAGCCATCTCTGATGAACCTGAGTTGGAACTGATGCTTTCAGACTGAACAGAATGAGCAGGATGAACCTGAATTTCATTCTTGAAACTCCTTGGCTTCTCTTGGGGCTCTGTGAGGCATTCATAGTTTTCTTGATGATAATGCAAGATGTCATCCTGTCTATTAAACCACTGAAATTCTCAACGGTTATTTTTTGCTTGAGTTTTAGATTTCCAGGAGCATTCAACTTGTAATGAAGCATATGATGGACGGCAGATCAAAGATGGAACTTCTTCCTACAAGTTTCCAGCGTCCAAAAAGTATAAACTATGAATTATGGGAGAGTGGATGTTGGCTGCCGAGCATTTGTTTTTCCAAAGGTTTACCAGAACAGACCACGATTTCAACTGATTTTTCTGTTGCTAAGAAGAGATTGATCTTGAGCCTCAATCCAATTACCAAGACGAGATAAGAAAAAAAGAAAAAAAAGGTTTGAAATGCAGCTATGCTTCCAGTGATTTTGTTTCTCTTTTTACCTTCTATTTGTTTTTTCTGAGATCATTCATTTAGTGCTTCAGGTCTACTATTTAGGTTGCACGCAGCTCCATGTAAATTTGATCTTAGTTCTGTAGTATCAATCAATTCTCAGCTAACTGATATGATAGGGGCCAGATAGGCGGCAGCTGTGACCAAATACAGAAGTTGCTTCTGTCAATTTCTGTGAGTGTGCGGGAGGGCCACAAGCGTTAACTGTTTTACTATTGGGTCGGGTAACCAGTTTCTTTCCTGAATTAATTAGTATCTAAGTAATGCATTTTATAATTAATTTATTATTATACAAATTATGCATTTTCTTATTAGATAACAAAATATAAGTTTTATTGTTGTAAGATTAACGTTTCGGCGTTGTTTGGCCCGTCAAAGTGCACTTAGTTTTTGTTGAATTATGGTTGGAGCCTATGGAAATGGCTTCATGGTCTCTTAATGACCATGTAGTTGATGAATGAGTTTAAGCGAGGCCCAAAATGGCACATTATCAATTCTAATACATTTACAACGCTGACCCACTAAGGGTCATATGCAGTCCCAAGTACGGGCCCAACGATGACAAATTAGGGACCAAATTTCCCCAAATTGGACATACTAAGGCCCAAGATTAAGCACAAAGCCAAACATTTAGAACAAAGCTAGCCCCAACTTCGACCACTAAGGCCGACTATTCTGCCCAAACCAATTAAGAAGCAAAATACCAGCAAGTTATGTGGCACTAAGCCCCGAGATTAGGACCAACATGACCCATTACTAAATAAAACTTGGCCCATCTTTGATCCACTAAGGCCCAAAGAAAGAACCCAATTCGGCTCAATTTGCGCTCAATAAGGCCCAATATCCAGGTAACAAAGGCCCATTAGGCCCACTGATGACCCATTAAGAAACTAAATGTTATCCTATTTTCACCTATCAGGCCCAAATCTAGGCCCAATAATGACCCATTAAGAAACAAAATTTGTTAAACTTTGAACCACTGAGGCTCAATATTAGGCCCGATGATTACCTATTAAGTAACAAAATTTGGTCCAACTTTAACTCATTGAGGCCCAATGTTAGGCCCAAAGATGACCCATTAAGAAACAAAATTCCTCCCACCATTGACCCACTAAGGCCCAAGATTAGATCCAATGATACCTTATTAAGGCCCAACCAAGACCCATTAGGAAACAAATTCAAGCCCAACATTGACCCACTGAGGCCCAATAATAACCCAAGATGACCCATTAGACAAAATTTAGCCCAACCTTGACCCACTGTAGCCCATGATGGGGCCGGCAGGGATTCCTTTAGGGCCAACTTTGGACCCATGATGATACATTAATAGGCAAAATTTGCCCCAGCTCTAACCGATTAAGGTCCAATAATACGCCATCGCTAACCCATTCGGGTCAAATATAGGCCAATTGCGGGCCCGATAAGAACAATTTAGTCCTCACGTTGGGACCAATTTTCACAAAGGCCAAGAATTTGGCCCATTGTATGCATTACGGCTGAAAAAGTTAGCAACCAGTAAGGGCCCAATGTTAAGGATCAAAGTTAAGCCTACTTTGACCCAATTAAGCCCAAAGTTGGGCCCAACAGTGACCCACTATAACCTACAACCCAATATTGAAACAAACTTTGACCCCATTAGGCCCAATCCAAAATACTAAGCAAATAAAATGATAAATAAAATAAAATAGCAGCATTCTTCAGAAAAGTTGACAAGGACCACTTGAACTTTAAGCATGGCCCCTGCATTTTTGGAATTTACCTTAGTGCGGTCGTCCAAACGTGGGATGCTCTGACCATTAAAAGAATGAATAAATCGAACAGCAGTAATTCAAAATGCTCCAATACACAAGTTTCAACCAATATGATTGAGATTAATAGATCTAAACCACCTAAAACAATATACATATATATATATATATATATATAAGGGTTAAAGAAACGGCTCCTCATGGTGAAGTTGGTGGCATGTCAGGTTGATCATCAACTTGAGGTGGTGATGACCCAAAATCAAGGCTCGGGAAGACACCAGGCGGCCTCTCCCGGGGTTGGATCGATAGCAACTGGCTTGAGTCGCCCACAACATCCGCCCATCCATAATGAGGTTCAGCCCTTCAACCAAGTGAAAACTCGTTAATTTTCAGTGGCAAATTACTAGTCTTACACATGTTTGTCTTAAATGAGCATGCTCTTACTCATAGTACGTCTCCTCGTCAACAACTATATCCCAGCTTTCACCAGTTGTGCTCTTCCCATATTTGTGAACTTTTCTGTTTAGGAGACAAAGGGAATTAGTCTCTCTCCGTTAAGAGAGAAAAGACTATAAACAACAAGCCCAAGTCCACTTATTAATCAAAATGCAATTCAGCATTGAAAATGTGCAAGTGAGAACATGGAATGGAAATTCTAGCTAACATGAAAATGTTCCATACCCGTTTCCAAAATGCTCCTCTCCCCATGTTCTTGACCAACCTATAGGATAAAGAAAAACATAGATAGATAACAATGATATATATTCGATGAATAACATTCAATGATTTAACTCTATCCTGAAATTTTAGGCAAAAAAATCCCTTAGGTCACTTCTATACCTAGAGTCTCAAAAAAAAAGACAAACAAAAGTTCATACCACTGTAAGTCGTCTCTTGTGAATGATGATAAAGACAAATGAATCATTAATCCATAGAACAATCATTATCGTTGTGATAAGAGTGGTTGTGCTAGGTGCAAAGTTTTGAGAAATACATAGTGCTTGTTTGGTTTAGTTTTTTTTCAGCTTATCTATCTCTTAAAAGCAAAAACCAAACCAAACATAAATTTTAAAAAACTCTTTAAAAAAAATAACTTTTTTTTAAAAAATAAAATTTTTAAAAAAAGAGCTTCAGGAAAAGCTACTGAGCATTTTCTTCTCTTATTTTAAAAATATAAGAAAATTTTTATTTTTCTTTCAAAAATATCTTCATCTGTTAAAAATAATCACAATATTATCCTCTCAAAAAAAAATATCATTTATGATAATTTTAACCAAAATTGTAATTTATAAAAAAGAACTTATAAAAGAAATTTACCAAACAACTTCAGCTTAATTCTAAAAGCTATTATTTTTCATAAGAACTTCATAATAGCTTTTAAGCTAGAAAAAAGCTAGGCCAAACAGGCTCATAGAATAGTTTTTGCTTAACGAGTCAGACACAGGCATACACCCAGGTACACACGAATAAGGTTAATCATTATTGTTAACAAAATGAAGAACATGAACATTGATTGCTGCCAAACAGGAAATTACTCAGACAGAATGAATTTTATGCATCACATGCAGATGGAATGAAAAGACTATACATACGTTCACCACTTGGAGATACATGCCATGTCTCCCCTTGACGTGAACCAATACCAGAAAAGAACTTCTCTTCCCACTTATCTCCCCATTTAGTTCCCAATTCAGTCTCAGCCCATTTATCTGTCCTGCAAATCATCAAAATATAAACTTCAATATAACACCATAGGAGGGTGCTTGAGGTGGGAAGGCCCGACCAAATAGGAAGATAAAAAATAAAGAGAAGAAAACTTTATAATCTCAAATAGCAATTGAAGCATTCCTTATGAAGAAGATCAAAAGAAATGCTGTTAAAATTCCCAACACTATTAACATATCTCTATCTTTCCAGATAAAACAAGTCATGATATGGTTTCTGTCATATTACCATCTGAAGATACTAATTGCAGCGAAAAAGGTCATGAATTCGAACTATTAATAATAAAAATTCCAGTAGTCCACTAGTGCACTGAGTGGTTATGCATAAAGGCTAATTGAAAATTACCATTTAAGAACAGATCCTCTTCCATCATAATGCTCTCCCCACTTCTCCCACCATGACTGTTCATTCAGCCTACCATACTTATGCGCCCCTTTTTCTGTCCAGCCTTTAGCATCATACTTCTCCCACCTACCAAAATCAGTTTATCATCAATATACGGAAGATAGTTTGCCGTTGCTGAGCTGCACACTCAATGTGAAAGAAATATAATATCATGCATATCATCCACTGGTATATAACTCACCATTTCTCATACCAACCAGCATTTTCAGTGCCTGACTTTGCTTGCTTTTGAGCACTCCTCTCTATCCTTGCTAAATTACTGCAGTTTTAAAAATGTAGTAATGGTTTCATTGATGAAAAATTGCATGCATGGTAAACTGGAGATATCCTATTTGTCTCTATATGATAATTCGTGGATTCAAAGTTAAGTGTTCCCTGATAAAGCTAAAGGATGTGGAAATATAGACCTCCATTCATCTTGATGAAGCACTTCTTGCCATGTTTCCCACCATGAATCTCCTTCAGCATTTCTTCCTGATTTCTCAACACCTATAAGATATAAACTCTACTAAAAGTTAGGCAAATTACTATAGCCATAGTCTGTAGAACAATTTTTTTAGAGGGTGAACAAGTTTCTTACAGGGATATGATAACAAGACAAATGACCAAATTCATGCACAGATGATTTTAAAGTCATTTAAAAAAGAATAAACCATTTAAAATTTACCAGAATTAGACCATAGAATAAAGCAATGAAAAGGAAAGTAAAAGTACCTAGCTCTTTGTATCCACTCCAGTCACTTTTCTCCCACCACTGTCAAGGAGATCAATAAATCCAATTAAATGCATCCACCTGGGATGATACTTAATGGGGTTATAAAAACAATGTTAAGTAACAGAATTAGAAAAATCATTACAGTTCGCTTGTAGTTTTGAGATGCCATTCTCAAAATCATTAAGCAGATCATCTTTTCTTCCTCAATATAACTACATTTGCAGTCAATAAACCCTTTTGGGTGCTTAAATCTCTCAAACTACGCTCTTCTGAATGGCTGAATCTTAACTGCCATGGTGGCAAACATAGTACCTAATTGCTTTAATCTACGGTTCCTAGCAATCAAGTCCATGTTTGTCAATATTTGAAACAACATAGGAATTGCTTCTGAATTGCCACTCCAAGATCAAGAAAAGTCATAGATATAAATGTCATATAGCAGAATGATTTTATACCGTTTCCTTCCATTCTGAGGAACCGTCATGGGATTGACCACCCATCCTTGTCCATCTACACCGGTATCCGTTTTCACCAAGGTCCTCCCCACTTTCTCGGTACCACGTACTGCCATCTTCATTTGTGCCAGACTCATTAACATTCTCACTTAACAAGCTAATGCCCCAATCCTTCTCATTTGCAATACCAGTGTCTAGATTGCAAAAACAAGTGAACAACCATATCTTTATTAGGCATGGTAATCTAAATGCTACTACAAATCCTAGAGCTATATTCAAGCACGGAGAGAATTTCATAACAAAATTCCACAGTATAATGAGCATTGCGAGATACCTCTTTTTGGTGGAGTATCGCGAGACTGAGGACCAGAATTTCTTGGAGTGCACCGAGGGTAGAACTTTTCTTGTTTGGAAGCAAATCGAGATCTGTAACAATCATAGCATGAAATCAATATTACATTGCAAGCTTTAGTAGTTGAACACAACATTTTAAGTTCTTGCATCAAATTACAACAAAAAAAGCTACTAGCAATAGGCTTTGAGATGTGAAAATTCAAAATAAAAAGGAACAACCAAATCAAATTCAGAGCCTGAAATCAAAAAATTTGAACGTCCTACCCTCAAACCAAATAACTAAATTAGCAAGCTACTTAAACTGTCTTTGTTAAAAAAAAAAGATACATAAATATGAAAATAAATTCAGAATTCCATTATTCAATTTTAAGGAACAATAGGAGTATAAATATACGCCAATATATAGAAATATGCGATACGCATGCACATTCGTAGATAGACTGATAGAAATAGAAGTGAAGGCTGAGAGTGAGACGTACTGAGCCGAAGCAAAAGGCATTGTAGGAGAGGCATGGACTCGAAGCCTGTGAGGGCTTTTCTTGTGGTCGAACCGCCACTCCTCCGCCTTCTCCTTGCTCTTCCCCGAACCGGTGGCTCCACGGATCGGGACCACCGGGTCCGAACAACAGCAACTGATTCGACTCAAAACAGCGGGTCGATCACGTTGAAAGCTCATTCTCTTCCTTCTACTCGGTGCCAGTCCACGGGAGACATGGAACTTGCTGAGTTTGAACTCAACCTGAGTCGCGAATCCTCTGGAACTCGCCGCCATAGATTAAGAAAATGCCATGGACGAGCCAAACAAAAAAGAAAAATAAAAAGAAGAAAAGGAAGGAGGAAATTTTTGAAAAAGAAGAAAATGAGGAGCGTTTGGAGGAAGTAACAGAGTTTTAAGTAAAAGTAGAGAAGGGAAATTATTAAGGAAAATAAATCTAGAGAGAGGGCGGGCCAATGGGAATGAAGGAGAGGATTTCGGGAGAATGGGGGACGGGGTACATTTGACGGGGAGGGGAATTTTAAGAAGGGAGGAGAAGAGGTTTTGAGAAATCTTAGAAGAGAGAAAGATGCGAGTGGGTGGGAGTCGTAGTGTGTGGAGAGAGAGAGAGAGAGGTGAGATCAGATCGGTGGTGCTCCTCAGCCGTGAGCTGCGCACAATGCGAATCGCGGGATTTAATGATACACGTGAGCAACTCGGTCCCACTTGGCGGGTTTTTTCTTTTTTTTATCCCCTTATGCCTCTATGGATTCGCCACGTGTCTTCACATCTACCTTCCTTTTTCTTTTTTTTCTTGATTTTGTGATCCTCCAAAGGGGCAATTTTAATTTTTTTCTAGGAAAAGAAAAAACTTAAAAAAAAAAAAACAAAATCTCAGAGTAATATTGGCCAACGTAATTAATCATTTCATCAAATGCAAATGATTTGCTCAATAATCGGTTGCAATTAGTTATCCAGAAAAAAATTATTTACCTTCTTTAATTTCATAATTCATAGTAATTGCTTTTATATGAGTATGAAATAAGTCTATAATTCGAAATTAATTTAATTCAAACCTGATATTTTCCGAGATTGTTTTTTTAAAAATGGGCATGGTGCAAAATCCATACTTGAAATGCCGACTTGGTAGATTGTTTTGGTTTTGAAATTAAAGTCTGTTTTGAATGAATTTTATCCAAACACAGGTTTGCGGAATTTTTCTCAAATGAATCTCTGCTGCGGATAACGTGGCAGTTGGCATACACAGAAACTAGGGGATTCAGATTTTGAGAAGCAAATCTAATTGAAAAGGCGATATCTCCACTCGCTTTCAAGTCTCCAACTCCGGTCTCCCACCTTATCCAAGCAAAGGAGGGAGAAAATTGAAACTGCCACCGCGGCGAGCACCATTTTTCCCCCAATCCAACTGCTTTCACCACGTGTCAGCGCCTCACCAATTGATGACATGGCAAGGCACCTGTTGACCATGAGATTGAAATTGCGGATAAGCTGAAAACGTGGTAGCTTGCGTGTCATCTACACGTGGCAGACATTCATGGTTCCAAAGAGTGCCACGTGTTAAAAAGAATCGAGACAAGTGGAAAGCGTGGATCCCTGCCTCTGGACGAGGAAACCAAATCAAATTACCATCTCACTCGTGTTCCTTTGCGTTTGGATAAGCTCCACGTCACTGAAACAAAATCTAATTTCTGGATTTGTGTCAGGCGATTGCTTTCAATGACAATTACTCCTTTTTCCCAATGTTTTCCCGTCGCGCTTTATGCTCTGCGTGGAATACAAACCTTGCATGTTAGCCGTGGTCGGTTTGTCTACCTTGTTTTTCTTCACTATTCGGTAAATCACGACCACAAGTTCAAACATTTCAGACCCCTCTATCACATTGCGTAACGAAATTAAAAATATGCTCATTTATCCAGATGATGTAATAAGGTGATGGCACCCGAATGAGCAAATTCATTTAGCCACAGACAATTTCAAGCCCCGTATGGATCACTCTTCCGCAATAATTCATCGTGACTGGAGCTAGGTGCTGGTTCAGGGTTCAAATTTTGATTTGGCTTTTATCAAGTTAAAACTTTTCTATAGATATTTCTAAGGAATTTATGTAATAAATAACACAAGAGAACAACAAAACCTTGGTTCAACTTTCATGGTATATGTCAAGAATACACAGGCAGAAAACGTCATGAAACCAATCATCAGGTCGCCAGCCATCCAAACACTACATTTAAGTACTGGCCCTCTTCACGTCGAGCCGTATCATTGTACTCAAGCTGTAAGTTGCCTAAATATTTTGGGGCTCATTCATCTCTTTGAGCACTGCTGTTTAGAATCGGAAACTCTGCTGAACAGAACTTTTAGAAGAACAAGGACAACGGATAACCTTCATTTTCTTGAAAGGAAAGGCTTAATTGATTCTACGACCACCTGCATTAAAGAAAAAGCATAAATGAAATTGAGTGAACAACCACCTGCATGGCATGAAAGGAACAAATTGGGTGATCATGCCAAAAAGTTAATGTCGTGATTCAGCAATTACTAGACATCAAGTAAATTCTCATTTACAGGAAGAAATATTATCACCACAAGTGAAACTGAGCACTACGTTTTCTGGATACACATGAAACATGCTGACTGAACTTTTCATTTTCCGATTTTATAGAATCAAATTTGAGTTCCTTCTATATTTCTAGCATTAAAACTTGCAGAGTTCTTACCCTGCCATCATAGGATAGTGAAGCAAATATCCAAGGCTCACGAGAACTCCAAGCAAGGCCTGCAAATATGGTTAAAACCTGGTTAGATTAATATTCATATCATAGTAAAAAACAGAATTAGCACTGATTACCATATACACTGTCCTCATAATCACTATAGGAATTAAGTAACGGGTCAGCTTGTTGAGTGGGTGATTCAGTTATGCTGTTAAAACAAACATAAAGGAAAAAGTATCAGAGTAGACCAAAGAATAAAAAAGGCAGTTGTAAGAAAACTTCAGATGTGGGAGAAGAAAACAACCTTCCAGAGGTTGATTCATCACTGGCAGATGTAGGAGCCAGCCACAAGTTAACAGTTGAGTCTGTGCCAGCACTCTGCCGAAGAGAAACGCTTGTCAAGAAAATTTCAAAATATAACTGAAAGAAACAATTTGTAGTTTAAATTATACAATAATAGTGCCCATCATGCAGAAAGATGATGGCACATAAACGAAAGTACATTGTTAGGCATAGTTGATTCAGATGAATATTTGTAACCAGTTTAGTCCAACCAAGACCCTAATTGCTATAAGATGAATGCTCAATCCAATTTGTTTCAAACACAGAGAGAGAGAGAGAGATACCAGAATTAGCCCATCATACTCAGGGTTACACGTAACAGCCCATGTCCTGCCAACATTATTAAAAAGATCACGATCAGTGAACTAAAAGTACCTGAATTTAAATACTCCCATTTCTTTTTAAAGGGATGCAAACAGTTCAAGCCTTCAACTCAAATGTGGGAAATAAACAACAAAAGAATTAAGTGAAAAAATAAAAATAGTAGAGTTTTCAAACATCAAAATGACTTTAAGCCAAACGAACCACAAGAGTACACAAGTCAATTACCAGTGCATATGTCCAGGAAGCTCTTTCACAGGAATTTTGGGCTTTCTAAGATCCCAGACATGTATCCCAGATTCATCTTCTGCAGTGACCTGCAACAAAAGCAACAAAAATATTGCTCAGAAGTAGTATCATCTCATTTAAATTGGTTCATTCACAAATCAAAATCACAATTTTTATATTATTAATCATCCTTTAACTTATATTAGCAACTATTAGATATAAGTGAATGTCTTTTATGGTTGACAATGCGAAGGATTGACTTCATTCTAAGGAAATGCAAACACACCTATGAAAAAATTATTATCTGTGAAAAGTGATCCAAAATTGATAAATTCCCTTTTAAAAAATGTATAGAACATCTGAATACTAGATATTGGCAGATCATTAGCTAAAGCTTCGTAAACATACATGTGCGTGCATGGCAGATTTTTGACAGGGCAGTTCCCTGCATGGCCACAGCTTTGACCAAATTGACCAATAATTACAGTTTAATAGACCAAAGTTTCCTGCCAATTTCTCATCCTTACCATGTCAAAGTGACACAGTCGTAATTTATGTTACTAGTCTATACATAAAATATCTAGGTATGACAGGTGGAAGATCTTGGACATAGCTATAGAAAAAAGAAAATCTTATTTGATAGAAAAAGCAATTGAACATGCCAATTCATCCCTAAATAAAGCCATTTCTAAAGATCAATGTTGCAACAAAAATAAAAAAAATGCTGGAATAAAAGAAAAAAATGCAATGGCCACTAAAATTTTAAGGTGGTGTTAAACTAGCAAAATATGCAAGCTATATCCTTACAAGCATATGCTTTTTCTTCACATCATAGTTAGCCTTACGGATATGGGCTCGCTCAATTGAATTTGCCTTCCTGTGATTTTATGAAATTGTTGTCAGCCACAGCATAACTCTAAGCAAAATCGATACAGCATATCAAGGTTAAAACATTCTAAGAAAAAATTTTCTGCACAAGAAACTCAATGGTAAAGGTATTACACCCCTCCTCCCTCACCGTCCTCTTTCGGTTAGTGGAGGCGGGCAACGAAATAGCAACTCTTTGAATTGCGTTCCATGCCTCTTAGAACAAGGAATACAAATCAAGAGGGAAATGGAACACCAAATTACATGACCACCACTAGCTTAGATGTAGAGACAACATACTTCATTGTACGCAGATCCCAAAACTGGACTGATGATTCACAAGTTGCTGCAACAGCATTTACATCATGTGGATCCCATGCTCCACTGGATAAGTAATGAAGCATACCAGCTGATTCCTTAGATTGCACCTAGATTTCCACATCAAGATCTGAATAAGCATCAGAAAGAGAATTCAAAAATTTTACTATATTATTGGTATTTGGAAATTTTTGGTTTATAGTAACCACCATTGATATGTAGTGAATGACTGGGTACAACTACATGGCATCTAAGATAAATGCAAAGTTACCAACTGCTAAAAAATATCAATATCAGAAACTATGAAGCTATATTGAATATATTGGGAAGGGAAAATAGGGAGAGAGTGAGTAACTAATGCTTCAAATTGCAAATTTGTTTTTGAAGAAGGTATTTTAGTAATGCTGTATTACCTTCATAAATGCAAACATACAGGTTGGCCATTCACACAACTAGAATAACCATCAATGTTAAGAAGAACAGAATTGATCCAGAAACTAACCTGGGCAGCCTTTTTTGAACAATCCAAACTCCATAATAGAAGATTTTCATCATCAATGCTGATCAACTTATCATGCCTTCCAGATGGCCACCAGAGAACACTGTTGTTTATACACATACACAGTAAGCAATCCAAAATAAATTTTTTTAAAAAATGCCTTGTAGGAAATGCAGAGATCATTCAGTTTGAATAACTTAAGAGGAAGTTTTAAAACAGAAACTCACCAATTAATCTTACCAACATGTGCATCAAGCAAGGCAATTCGTTCCAACTGGGGTGAATTCAGCTGCCCATATAACTCAGGGATCTGCCATATTGCAGCCCCATAAGATTCCCCTTCAATGACATAGAATACTATTAAACCACTCTCCATCCTTAAGCCAATAAACTTTTTACAGGAAATGCTCTTACTAAAGACTAATTATCACGACAGCTAATGCAAGCAATACTACTAAAACTGATACATACAGAAAAGAACTATAAAGGTTCCTCAAAATGACCTAACTTGAAATTAAAAGGCCTGGAAACCACGACTATATATAGAATGATTATACCGGTTATTTTCAATAAGGATCTAATTTCCTTTTCTCTTTTTGAGTGGTAGAGTCACCAAAACCAATGAACTACGGGGGAGCAGACAAAGAAGGTCGACTAAGCTAGTCGACTGTTACCAAGATCAAGTTCACTAGCATCCTCATTGAACCTAAAAACAAACCACAAAACCAGAATCTGCAAGAAATGCACGAAAATCAAGATCAATAAGCTACCAGTAGAGAAAACGGTAGAGAAAATCCGCTGATCGAAGGGACAGGAAGCTAGGTCCCAGATCTCATTAGGATGCGAAAACAAGCCCTCGCAAATGAGCTCGGTACCACCTGAAGATAGCCGAATCAGATGCACCTGGCAGTTTTCAGTTCAATTCGGTAAGATGATAAAAATTTAAGCATTGTGATTGTGAAATTAAACGAGATTAATTAATGAACAAAAACCTCGTTTTCTTCCCGGAGACTGAGGGTTCCAGTAATGAAGCTGGTGTGATCCGTGTCCGCTTTGACATCCGATATGCATCTTGCCTGCGAGCATAAAAAGAGGTAAGCCTTAACACTTCGATTCTGAGAGGAGTAAAAGTTAGTGGGATTGAAATGTTAAGCGTCGACCTGATATTTGAGGCCATAGCCGATGCCAGAAGATCCTCCTTGCATCGCTGCACCACCTGGAGCTAACGAAGGCTGCTTCTTTGTCACCGGTAATTTCAACGCCTCGTTTTTCCGGACGTTTCTTGCTAAGATGCGTGGGCGTCGTTTTACTGGGTAATCGGCTACGCCATTAGCAATGGGCAATTCATTTGACCCTCCGGTTCGAGCCCAATAGGCTTGAAAGGGTAAACACAGAGGGTCCATGTTAGTCAGGACTGTTGGGCCGATAGAACCCGGAGCTTGATCCATCGATCTAAAAATTTTAAAATCAACTTAATCGAAATTTCAAAAAAATAATAATCATCCATCAAAATATATTCTTAAAATTGAAATAATTGAAAGTGCACTAGGCCAGTGGACTTAATCGATTATATTTTTCATCACTTCTTCCTATAACATTTTCAATAATATTTTGAAAAAAATAAAAATAAAATTACTCATCTCCTATTCTAATCAAGAAAAATTCAACTTACAAAAATATTATTATTAAAAATATTAAAATATAAATAATTAATAATTAATTGATTTGTCAGGTCAATTGTAGTTTTTTTTTAAATCAGAAAATGATTGAATAAATCAAACAAATCGATACTCATAATCAATTTAAGATTGAAATCAATGTAATCAAATGAATTAATTAATTTGATTGATTATTTTGATTTCAACTTAATACTGCTCAACCATACCCATTATTATGCTCATTTTCGTTTATGATAGTTTTTCGTGCATATTACTTGTGATAATTTAACGCAGGATCATGGTTGTTAGCGGATTTGACATGCTATTCTCTTTTGCTTTTCAGTTTTTTTCCAAAGGGGTGATGATCAAACACTGTCTCTATTATAACGACCATCATGAAGGGCACTAATTTTTTTTAATTGATGAATATTCATTATTATCTGCGTCGGAAGCTTGTAATGATGAACTCACCCATTGATAAATTGGGCCAATTGGGGACATTATGCAACATTTGCAAACAAATTTGGATTTAATAACATGTGCGTGCTATTTAAGCAAATATTTGGAAGTTATCTTGATTTGATTATTTTTATAATAAAAAATGATATGATTTTACCATAATGATATATTTACTCATAGTTTTTTTCAAATACATCTAATTTAAAATAACTTAATTCAAATTTCAAACGAACTAATCGAATTCTATTGAATGAAAATTTAGAATTATTAATCTTCTTTAAATTATAAACTTTTAACATATTCACACTTTAATTTTCTTTTTTTAAACTCAATTTAAATATGCATGTATTAAATTAAACATCACTCGTTAATAATGAATTCTAATTACTAATTAAATTTGTAAGAAGAAATAGATAGACAAACAGCATACAAATTATTATCATTGAAATCTATTATAATACTAATATGATAATTTATTATTTTATTTTTAAAACTTTTTAATATTATATTTATATATTTAATTCAATAATATATATATATATGAAAAACATATTTTTGTCACGTTGAAAACTAAAGGAAGTTTCCATTTTTGCCAAAGCCAAAGTCGGCTTTAGCTTAAAGCTACAAATGCCCTTGCTTTAGACCTTATAGTTTTATAACTCTCATAATTTTATATGATATAATTAATTATATTAAAAATATATAAAAATTAAAATAATTAATAAAATATTTTTTAAACTAAATGTTTATTAGATATCTATTTTCTCTCATTTCTTATTTCTTACTAATTCTCAACTATTTATATTATTTCTCCAATTATGTAAAAATCAAAACAATTAATAAATTATATATTCCTTTACTTTCTCAATTATGTATTTAATAAATTTTTATTTTTATTATATTTTAATTCTCATAGTGTTAATAATTTTTAATTATTTTTTATTTTCAATGAACTTAATATATTATTAATGATTTTCAATTAAAAGTTTTATTTAAATATTTAAACATTTAAAATCTATAAAAATATTGTACTGTCCCTGGTAAAATCATTATTAACTTTGACTGCTTCCTGCCTCGTGGACACTGGCAAACTGTCTGAAATGAAGAAAAGAAAAATGGAAGCAAAGGAAAAGAAGACGCGGCTAAGGAGTAGGAGGAAGTGGCCCGGAGGGAGGCGAAGCTTCTGTACATCAGAAGTGGTGACTTCAGATATATTGCGGGATTGGAAAAGTCGCACGTTACGCCAATCTTCTAAACCGTCCAAATCCAACGATGACTTCGTGATCATGAGACGTCTATTGTGCTGCAAGGAAAACGAAGGACACATCTCATCGAATTTAATTAAGACTCAACTAAACTAAGTAGCACTCCTCCCTTTCTAAATATTCATCTTCTTTTTTTATTAATTAAAGAATTCTTCGAGTTTCAAAAAAAAATTCATCTTTTTTTTATTTTTATAAAATTTTGACTTTCATTTATTTTATATCAAAATTTTAAAAATTTTATACTACAAATAGGTAATATTTTTAATATTAAAAAGTTAAAAACAAAAAATAAATTTATATAAAAAACATTAAGCATTTAGAAGTAAAAAATATTTTCTGCTAAATATTGTTGGTAAATGTCAAATGACTGGTTTCCAATGACAAGTGGCTAAACAACAATAGGCGCACCTTTTGAATATGACACTCTTTTATCGTTTGCCAAAATCAAGCAGGGACGTGTTATGTCAAGCTTTCACTTCGCATAATTTTTTATTTTCCTGGAGGGCATAAATTCCGTTTTGAAATTTTACGTCATTTCCTCAATGAACTAGAGATTATATAATAAATATGATAATTTGCACTATTTATTTTTTGTGACAAAATTTAAGTAAGACAATATTAAAAATAGTACCCACCTAGTAGTATATATTAATTAGTAGTACAGGATGACCTCATTTTCCATTATAAAACATAGTAGTGCTAAATATGGATATTTTATTGGCCTCTTCATGTTTATCTCTACTGGTGTGCTTAGTGATGTCTCAAAAGGTGACGTTAGTAAGAAGAGGGCAATGTTGGTATTTTAATACAAGTACTATATTTGTATTAAACCTAATATTTTTGGACATCACCATTAATATAACATAGCGTTAAATGGATCTTAATTTTGTATGATGATGTATAGTCCGTTTATAATATCGAAACACTTGTGTCACATATGATTTTCCTGATAGTATATGATACATATAAATAAATTAACTTTTATTATCCAATATATTTAACATGTTTAAATTTATATATTGAGTTATTAGATATTTAAATATTTAAATTTGTATAGCATTTAAATAATTTATATAAGTGTATGCTAACATTAGATTTGGTCATATTGGATATCATTATTAACATGACACGAAATTAAATGGATTTAAGTTTTATGAAATTATAACATCTCATAATCGTATAAACTCGTCTAAAATACGAAAAAAAATTATATCTTATGAGATTAATCTATGTAATTCATATGTGATATATTTAATTAATATCATATTAACAAGAGAATTTTCAAAATTCAAATCTTATGCGCCTGTTTCTTGTTTCACTTTGTACTTAATTTCTCACAAATTGTCACTTGTTTAATTTTTATTATTAATTAATATATATTTGATTTTAATTTTTTTTATCTCAAAAGGATTACGGATTTAATTTTTTTTCCCTTTTTCTCTCTCGTCTCGCAAGAGGAAATACAAGAGAGAAAGAAAGGAAAAAAAATTTTAAAGCGGTATTCCTTTTGATTCAAACTTTCATAACTCAAACTTATTGAAGGAGTTATTAATATTTAAAATACTTAAATATTTTACAACGCTTTTTATCAAATCCTACTCTTTTTTTTTAATTTGTTTTAACGGCAACAACAACATCAAAATAAATACGCAACAATTCTATAAGCAAAGTAACCGAAGAGGTAGCTACTCAGCAACAGAACTATGATCAAATGAATGGTCTTGTGCGGTTGTGCCTTCGTGTTAAAGCATGAAAATGACCTGAAATTCTAAAACTACCCTTCAAATCGTATAATTGCAACCAACTACATCAACTCACGCTAAAAGTTCGGCCCATCTTCCCCCCAAATCCACCCTATAAGAAAACAGAAGAAAAAAATCTTAAGAACAAGAAACCCTCAAAGCTCTTAAAACTCCCATCATATCTCTTTATCTATCTGTTCACTTTTTTTTGTTGTAATCGGCTTCTCTTTATGGGGAAGCCAAAAAACCTTGATATTCAAAGTTGATAACAGAGCGGAGAAACTTAAGAGAATTAAGGAGATCATGATGATAAAGAAACCACAAAAGATCAACATGTTAATAAGGAAATCGGTTTATGATCTTGATCGGCGTCTTCTCTTCTTAGTAATCACTCCTCTTTCGCTTCTTCTTTTCGTTTTCTTCTCATCTGCACCCATCAACTCTGTTTTCCCGCTCCGATCTTTCATCTTCGACAGAACCAACTCCTCGGGTTTTATCAGTTTATGGTCCCGGGGGGCCCCCAATCGGCTGCACTTTGGGTCGACTCCGTCCAAGGCCGAGTTGGATAAGTCGAGGATCGCGGTGTGCTTAGTTGGCGGGGCTAGGAGGTTCGAGCTCACTGGACCGTCGATCGTGGAGAACGTTCTTAAAGAGTATCCCAATTCAGACCTTTTTCTGCACAGTCCCATGGACAAGAATGCCTTCAAGTTATCACTTTTAAAAACTGCGCCGAGGGTCGCCTCGGTTAGATTATTTGAGCAGAAATTCGTGCCGCAGACGGAGGAGCAGTTTAGAGTCCTCACGGCGGCCAACTCTCCTAATGGTATCCAGGTAAAAACTGTGAACTTTCCTACTCTTTGGTTACGTAAAATTTTGCTATAATTGGGTTTCGTAAATATTTCTTCCACTTTCATAACCTACCTTGGTAAGTTGGAACCAATTTTTTGCGTTGGTTGGTGGATTTCGGAGCCGGAGTTGGAACCGTCGACAATTTGGTAGCCAACTGCTTTTGAAAGTTTCTACTTTTTCAATTAGATTTTTCTTGATATTTTTATTGTTGCTTGAGCTTGCGTTGTTTTTAATCCTTTTCCTAAAGCTGGGATAATACATTTTAGCATATTTGATGCGCCCATTGCATCTAGCTAAACTTTTCCAGTAATCATTTCATGGTCAATTTCAACGTCCAAATCCATGTTTCCTTAGTCTAGTATTTGCAATAGTTAGCTTTGAAATTTCCCTGGGTGGCCAAATCTACATAGACGACTAAGGACTTTCTGATATATCCCAACTGGGAAAGGTCCACGTGCAAAAAGGCCGTCCGCTCTTTGTCAAAAATTCCCTGCTTCTAGTATGATCCATTGTACGGTAGACCTTTTTTATTTGAAGATAATCAGGGCGAATCTTTAACGAAGGTCCCGCTCCGCCAACATGAATTTGAGCACCTGTTCTGGTCTCTATCACGACTTTTCCAATGTAGTATTTCAGGGATAACTGAAAGTAAAATTCACGTTTCTCGTACAGGGTCTTCTACAGTATTTTAATCTGGTGGAGGGATGCATCACGATGATCGAAACATACCAAAAGCAACACAACTTTACCTACGACTGGATTGTCCGAACCAGAGTAGACGGTTACTGGAATGCCCCGTTGTCTCCCCAGAACTTCGTGGCGGGCCAATACACGGTCCCTTCAGGATCAGTCTATGGCGGCCTCAACGACCGCCTCGGCATCGGCAACTTGCGTACGTCGAAAATTGCCCTCTCCCGCCTTTCTCTCATCCCCAAAATTGACTCGGCTGGTTACAGGCAACTCAACTCGGAATCAGCGTTCAAAGCCCAGCTCACCACCCTAAACATATCCTACGTAGAACACAGATTGCCGTTCTGCGTCGTGACTGACCGGACGTACGAGTTCCCGCCTGCCCATTTGGGAGTGCCCGTGGGGGCGCTGTCGAGTCCGGGTCCACTAAGCGGGGCCAAATGCAGGCCGTGCACTCCGGCGTGTCGAGACCTTTGCGTGGCGAATATAATGTCGTCGCTTGACAAGGGATGGAGCTGGACCAACTGGGGTAACGGGACTCTCGAGCTGTGCGATGCTCATGGCGGCTGGGAGAAAGGATGGGAGAAGATTTTCGATAGAGGAGCTGGTAAAAACTTCGCTGCCGAGAGGAGGCGAGTTAACGTTCTGAAATTTGAGGAATGTGTTCGTGATTTTCGAGAAATGATGAGGAAGGCCGTCAAGTGGGAGGCGCCTGCGGTGGAAGATATCTGTAGACTCGGCTTGGGGATGACACGGAGATGATTTTTACTATAGAGCAAAGCTTAGTTTGGGCTATATATCTTTTGGAATTGTATTTTTTTTTCCTGCTGTATGTACACATGTCCTAATCTAGCATTAGCATAGGTGTAAACGGGAAAGTAGCTTGAGATTAGTTCTTTAATTGATTATATTAATTAATTCGAGTAGTTTCGATTTTAAACATATTTGAGTTGATGGAATTAATTCATTATAAGTATATTTTAATTTCATTTATCTTTGTTGAAAATTTTAATGGTTTTAAATAACATTCAATAATAAAGATATTTAAATAGAATTAACCCTCTACTCATCTCTAAAAATGAGACTTATATTAAACACAATCAATATCCATCTATTAAATAATATTTATTAGTGTACTTAGTATTTGACTTATTGATTGTTTAAAAAATATAATTTAAATTTCTTTTTTATAATTATAAAAAATAACACTTACTGGTTGA